TATATATATAAAATACACTGCACAATGTATTTGTTGCTTACAGTGAGTGCACCTGAAGACGTCAACTCCAGAACTTGGAGGCACGTGGCCTAAAACATTGTGGGCTCACTCTACAAGCCTCCAGACAACAATTCAGATGGTAAGTAAATTGTTCGGACTATTGTGAAATGTTGTATTAAATTCCTATTGCTGTGGATAGTTTATCAAAGTGAAATTTAACATTCCCTCAGTTTAGTAGTGCTTAAATGTGGAACCTTTTTACAAGAGTGGTGCTTTACAACCGCATAAAGACAGACAAGTTTGTTCATAAATGGGCTATTTATTATTGAAATCAAAACTTTACAAAACTCTTTGCAGCCACTCCATCCCAGCTCAGCCAACTGCTGAAGTTTTGGCCTAAGATCCCCATCTTCATCAAGGTAGAGTACCTCACATCTTCTCCAAGTTTATCCACAGTGAATTAAAAGATAATTCTCTTTGCCAGCTGTACTATCAACTTGCTGTGTTTCACTTGAGAGCAATGAAGGTCAATCACTATGTAGTTATGACAGTGTTTGCCATAAACATTACAGATAGAACACTAGACGTTTTTACTAAAGCTTCATTATCATACAGTAAGTGAAACTTACACTACAGTTCATTCTGACCCTGTGTACAAACATGGTGCATACAAATGCAGAGTGAAAGCACTAATAAAGATGTGAATATGCACACCTTACAGCTGCCGTCTTAAAACACCATGTATCAAACGAGGAAGTTTGTCAGTGGGGAAAATGGATCAGATTGGAACAAAGCATGAAGTGTTGTATGCAATTACATTGTGTTCCATATTAGTAAAAAAAAAATTGTGAATCTTCGTTACAAATTATATCAAAGCTGCTCAAACACTTTTGAAATTAGTTTGTCAGGATAAAAGAGCTGAGAAATTAGTCTGACCTGAACTTGTCAGTGCTAGTATAGTTCTCTCTCTCTCTCACTTGAACCACCACAACTTTAGAATTTGTTTTTCACCTCATCAATTCTGAATGTTAAAAGCTTACTCTAACTTAGAATAAGTTAACCAAAGTAAAAGAAGCTCTCTGCGATATATCCTTCCAGCCACTGCTGTATGATTGGTTCAACCAAAGATTTTTTTTTTCCCTCTCTTTGTTTTATTTAGGCAGTTTTCAGAGAAATAAAGGTGTCCAGTTATTCACATGAAAAAATCTCAGGCTAAAGCCTAAGTCTGGCAAGCCTTCAGATTTACAGTATATCAACTGCTTTAGAGGATGAATAAGAGCGTGTTCTGTGTGTACATTTACTGCAGAATAAGTCTTACTCGTCTTCACTCCAGCTCCCCTGCATGTCATACTCCTGTTCCAGGGTCAGTGGATCTGAGGGGGTCAGATGCTGCAGCTCAGGACACTTCATCCATTCATGATACCTGAAGAGTGTAAACAGGTGGATAAGAGACAGGGACTACAGGTTTCTACAGCTTTAACTTAATCATGCATCCAGATGCTAAAGGACTGGAGCTGGTTCTGCTGTCAGTTAAAGAGACTTCAGACTGTCAAAGGATCTAAAGCTTGTATTGACAGCTGGATAATTTCTCATAAGTTATTTCTTCACCACAAAGAGTTTTCAGATGCTCCATGACAAATGAGACTGTATGATACGATTGAAATCTCCAGAAAGCTACTAAATGGAACTTGTGATGAGATTTTATCAACATTATTATTATTAGTTGCAGACTTATTTAAAAGTCAAAATAAAACCTATCCGCTATGTTTAAACATTGTTAGTAAAGAAATGACATTCAAATGCTCATCACTAAAGATATCAGCAGAGGAAATTAAAAGAAAGTGACAGGCTTCATGTGTGTAACGACACTGATCAAGTGTTAATGCTACCTGGGCACATGGCCGAAGTTTCTCAGGCAGCGTTGAAATATCTGCTGTGCACACACTGACAAAGTTAAAATCACATTCAATTACAAACACCTTTCATCTAGATGCGCTTTTATTAGCAGATTGAAATTGCCTCAAGGTGTTTAATGTTTAGTTATAATTACAAGATCTGGAAACCAGGATCTTGTAATAGGCTAGAATATATTGGTTGCTATTCAAGAAGACATTCATCCCATAGTCACATGAGACTGAGATTGCACAGGGATCTAAATCACACTCACAAAACAATTTATAAGTGCCCTCACAGGGAAGTGAACCCTGACCTACCGTACCAAAGTCAGTAGTGTTAATCTCTGAGCCATCCACCTGCTGTATAGGAACACATATACTGGTTTCTGCTTACCAACGTGGCTTAGCAAGGGAAAGGGGGTGAGGCACACGTTTTAATTGCTTAAAACAGAAACATTAAAATGAACATGGTACCACACAAACGGTCACATGGTAAGACACACACACAGCAAAGTTAATCAAAACAGTACTTAAATGGTTTGTAGCTGTACTAAATCAATAGATGTACAAACTGTTAGTCGTCACTGTGCAACAAACAGGATGGAGACAGAAGGGGCTCTTAGACACAGAGAACTGATGTAGAGTCGGGCCCAACAACGTCTCACAAGATAAGGTTTGGAACTTGAGAGGAGGGTATTGAAAGTGGTGTGGTAGAAAAGCTACAAACAATTTAAAAAAAAAAGCAAGAGACATCAAGAATGACAATAAACTATGACAAGAATAGAAGTGAGCATGACACAGAGAAGGAAGGAAATAATGTTTTATGCAGTCTTTTTACCAAAAGTGGAACAGAATTGTTGCCTCCCAGATTCTGTCTCCACCTCTGTTTCCTTCTTCTGTTGTCTTGCTTTCTCCCCATGCCCTTATTCCCTCAATCTGTCTTCCTTTTTTAAACACCATTGTAAACTCTGTGATCCTGTCTTTCGTTTATCAGCTATAGCTTCCCCTTTTCCACTTCTACTCTCCCTCTTATCCTTATTTCTGTATTCCTATCTTTTTTCTTAGCCTCTGTTTTTCCTTCTATTTGTTTATCCCATTTTCTATCCCTGTTTTTCTTCCCCTCCCTCTATCACTCATCTCTTGAGCTCTCTCCCTTTCTTCCCTGCTGTTGCTTCCCCACTCCCTTAAGCCTGTTGTATTATTCAGGTCTTTTCTTTCTTTCCCTCTCTCTACTAGCTTAATATTTCTGTGGAGGCCATAGAAATTGACAATCCAAGTCTACCATTTATCCTGACTTGCTGTCAAACATCCTAGCAATGGCTATTCGGGGTGATGGAATGGCATTGACAGGATTGGGGAGGGCAAATGAAAAGAAAGAGAAAGGCAAAGGGTCAGAGAGTCAGAGGACATCTCTGTTTCTTTATCTCTCCTCACTGCATGGATGTCTTTTGCATCTTTTAAACAGGTACACAGCGGTGAGGCCCTGTGAAGGTGTGTCTGTGCGTATGTATATGAAGGGTGGGGGCATGTAAGATGTCCTATGAGGTTTTTCCCCTTCATGCAGTGGCTTTGTGAAAAGATTAGAAAATTCTGTCTCAGAGATTATGAATTTACTAGTTTGAGTCTCTGTGAGGGAGCAATGGTTTCAAACAATCTGGGGCTGGCCAAGCTGAAAGGGGGCAGCTATGACCTGAAATCACCTCAATGGAATGGCACATTCCTGTTATAGTAGCTAGTGTACACAACATACACATGCTGTGTTTTCATTCTTTATGGGGACTTGCATTCATTTCCTGTAGATTTATCCTTAGCCTTAACCACTACTTGCCTAACACCTATCCCTGGCGCTAATACCTAACCTTAAACCATGTTACCACCCTGAAATTCAGTGATTTCCTTGCAGGGACCAACCTCTGGTCCCTACAAGGATAGCCGAGTCCCCACAGTGTGAGTGTGTTAACAGGTTTCGGTCCCTATAATGTAAGTAATACAAAGGCACGCACAAACACAGAGTAGTGCACAAACACCCCTTGCTGCTTCAGCACCATGGCCAGTGGCAGCCTCAGCAATCTAACCAATGCCAAGAGAGGAGCTTAACTCTCAGCACCTTGGACAGTTCTCATCCAACAGCTTACGGAGCAAGTGTATGTTTGTCTGTGTGTGTGTTTGTGAAACCAGGCCATTTTCCTATAAGCTGCTATGACAGACATATATCACAGAGATGTGTTTTGTCCAACAGTTCATGCTGTACTGCCAGTGCATTGTCCCTGCTCTATAAAGCTGCTGCCTGATGTGAAATGACATTTTGGCTGTTCACATATCAGATGAGTAATGACATAATAGCATACTACCTCCATTTTGATTGGTTTTTTTATTTTTACTATACACAGTAGAGATTCCATTTTTCAGTTACTATAGAAGACTTACTTCCTTGTTTTAACTTATGTTTATATGTAATGTGGAGATTAACAGCAGTTCTGTTGTAGATGACTGTTTGATTTATCATGTAGTGCTAAATCACTGCAAACGAGAGATACAGTAGTGTACAGTATGTGATCTGACTATATCATGGCTTTATTAAATTTGATGGGCCACATACATACTGTACTTAAGGAGCTGGAGCTTTATCCACCCAACTTATATTTTACAATGTCTTGTTACTGTACAGTATAATATTGGCATATGATAAATGAAAATACTACTACTGTGCAATTGCTATATTTATGTTGTATTAGTCACTGGGATAGAGATCTTTGATCATGGTCAGCTTCATATTATCCTTAAGTCCTTAAGATTTTCATGAAATTAAAACCAATTTTTGACACTAGACGGTTTTTTTTTGCTCAAAAGATATTTTTCTATGTAGGAATTTTTATTGGTAGTAGTGTGTTCTGCCTTTCCCATGCTGGATTTAAGCACGGGGGAATTCACAGGAAACAAGGCATGCGTGTAATCCAGCGCAATGGTATCTGATTGAAAACAGCCTCACTATTTACTGTTCCTCCGCTTCACACAGGGCACAGTCATTACCTGTTTTTCCTCAGCAGATATTTCATTTTTCTAAAATAACAGCACAAGAAAGCACAGCCAGAGAGAACAGATAAATGAAGAGCTGTAGCACACAGACTGCACACTGCTAACTTTTCAGTAATGTAGGAAACTTTACTATGTCATGCTTTTCTTTGAAATACTACACATGCTGTGCAGATTGTGGTTGTGCAATAATTTTCAACAAATGTCTTTATTATTATTGTTTGGTTGCGCTGTAAATGGATGCACAAGTTGCCTTCCAGTTGAGTTTCTGACAAAGTAGCTGCAGTGTTAAACCATACTTTGTTACCCCAGTAAACACAGGTTACACCAAAACAGATTACCACTTCAGTTGTGTTGTTGTCATCATAGTTTTTGCTGACTCCACATGGTATTTCTGTAGCTGCTGTAGCTCAAAGTTTAATTATAGGTTTGAGGAGCGGATCATTAAATTTGCTGTTTCAGGCGTATGGAACTAAATGTCCACACTGTTCATATGTATCCACACAAATACAGTCAGGGAAAAAATTATTTGAACCCCAGCTGATTTTGTAAGTTTGCACACTAACAAAGAAATGATCAATCTACAATTTCAATGGTATGTTTATGTGAACAGTGAGAGACACAACAATAACAAAAAAATGCATTACAAAAAAAGTTATAAAGTAATTTGCATTTTCATGAATGAAATAAGTATTTGATCCCTTTGCA